TAACGACAGTTTCTGCAGTTGTTATTAATCCTCTGGGGTTAATAAACTCACTGGAATCTCAGCGAATATTTGCTTCACATACATGAAAAATGTATCCCCTTAAAGCTTGAAATATCTACTTTAGATTAACTACACTTGAAAACAAATGTTTTTGTTTCGGAATCTGTATAAAACAAACGCAAGGTACATTCGTTCACCTCAAACATACATGATGCGACGGCAACTAATGAAATGCCCACAAACTTATAATCCGAGTCACTGTCGCTTTGGAGGATTTTGTTGGGTAAGAAGACCAGCGTGATCGGACGAGGCATTATTTTGACGATAATAATGTGTAACACTGCAATAAATAAGATTGGTGTCGTGATCTCGTTCCTTTCGAGTGTGCATTAACTTGAGCAACCTAAAAAGAAATATTGGTTTTGTGTGATTCGAATGTTCAAAAATGAAACTTAAGAGACAGTTGATGTTTAACTTTATTGGCGATTCCAAATATGAAATGTAATTATAAGCCTAGCAAAACATTTAGGAACATTTGATGTTTCCCGATAAAAAAAGAATGCATAGGGAAGAATGCACATTTACTGAGGGTTATGGATCAAGTTTTGTAAAATGTTTAGTTAAAAAAATAAATGTAGACAAACTGCCTGAAACGTTTTTATTTATCAAAATGTTTTTGATAAATAAAACTTTTTTTGTAACTAAATTGAATTATTTTTGAGCAAAACAAAACCTAACAAAAGTCCTGATGTGTTAAAATGATACATAACAAATTTAGAAAAACATGTATATGGTATAAAAATGGATTTTGATAGAAGGTTTAATAAACATGTGAATATTCTATTTGTTTATGTGTACGTTTTAACAGGGTTAAGAATCATTGTAATCAAGTATATACAATTTACATAGGGAAATTTTTTAATCCAAATATTATTTTCTATGTTGTCTAAAATATATGTACTAGGCCCACATGGAATCTGTGCATGCAGAAATTTTTCAGATTTCCAAAGATTTATAACACTTCATTAAGTCTATTTATTCACTTGTGTAGATGTGTGTAAATTTATAATTATTTAGTTTTTAAATTCATTTCACTAACATCATTGTGATATAATAATAGTAATATTAAAATGTTCATTTGATTTACTTACAATACAGTTGGTAAAATAATATTTTATACCTTTTAGCAGATATATTATATGAGTGACTTGCTTCGTTTACCAAATAAGATAAGAATAATTTGATTTGCATTGAAAACATTAAATAAAAGTTAAAAATGTATTATCTTTTGTTTAATATTGTATTCAGTTCTGATTATGGCATGAATTGGCTGTGACATCGTTCCAGTATGCTTTTGCAATTTCACATTTATTCCCATCTATTCATTTTTCTCCAGGATCTAGTGTTGATGACAGGTGAGTCATACCACTGTCTTCTCCAGCACATCCCAAAGATTCTCAATAGAGTTAAGGTCTGGACTTTATGCTAGCCAATCCATGTGTAAATGTAAATGACGTTTCTTAACCATCCTAGAATATGCCTGTCTCATAAGAAAAGAAAAAAAAAAACATTGATGGCATAATGGTCAGTTACCTAACCTTAATTTTTAGGCACATAACATTGCAGACCAACTTCAGTCTCTACAGGTCACAGTGCTGCCCCACAGGCTTGTATGGTTGGCAGTAAGCATGATGGGAACATCACTTTATCTGCCTCTTTTCTTACCGTGGTGCACCCATCACTCAGGAACAGGGTAAATCCAGAGTTCAATCTTTATGGTCTCTAGCAAATTGAAGCCTTTTCCCCAAGTGGATTTATTAATACTACACAGCTATTTGTTTAGTCCCAATTCCTCAAGATCCCTTTGCTTTGTTGAAATACTCTTTCACTATTCGAATTGAGTTGCCATGATTCCTACTGTTTATGTTTTTATTATACAATTTGATTTCATCAGAAATTTATGTGTAATTCAGGTTTTGTTTTCTATCCCCGCTATCCTTCCAGTTTTTAGAATGTCTTGAACATTTCTTAAGTTTGGTAGTTTCAGCAGTGTCCTTAGAGGTTTGGTGACAGTAATTTCTGAATGGGATCATCTTTTCCACAACCAAAAGATGTGTCTTTAGGCATGCATCAGTTGTGGTTAAATAACTTTTAAACTCTGAGATGTATTCATTCAAGTTGTAACTATCCAATCGGAGACTTTTTTTTTCAGATAGGCAGCATCCACACAAACAAAAAGCATTATGGAATGAAAGAGTAACCATTGTAAGTGAATATAATAACACTGTAAAACCCAACAGTCAACTTTATCAAATGAAATGAGTGTAGTTAACTCAAACTTTACTGAAAGTTAATTTTACTCATTTGAAAAGAGTTTTCAACTCAGCGTTGAAGGTAATGAGTTAATGAAATACCTCATTACTTAAACTTAATGTAAGTTTACAGTACAGTTCATATAGATTAATTTCTTAACTCAAATGGTTAGTAGCAATTTGTTTCC